AAAAAGTTCATAAGACGTGAGGAAAGGTCACTTATAGCTATCCCCATTTAACTTTTCAAATCCGATGACAAAACAGACATACCTGCCACACACAAGGGTACAGTTGCGAAAGATCCAAATAAGCAATCCGCATATGAGACCTGTTTCGGGAACACACACAGAACTGCCACCATATTTAGCCAAATGGGTCAGACGTTAGCTACGGAACGGCTATTTTCGCCTCGAATTTTCTAGCGCATGGTATATTTGCACATTCCATTCATTGCTCATGGTAGCGGAGGTAACGGCTTCGCCCACGTTCTCGGATATCTGGGTCAAGCCTTCGATATATGGAATGCCTGACCAGTGGGCACTGTTGGGTAAACATTATGAACCGGCTAAACAACCCTGAATCGTCTATTTTCACTTTACTCAAGTACGAAAGACGAGTAATGAAACGACACTAGTTATGAGCCAATACTTACATAACGACCCATTAGTTTAGTCAGATAACGGTCTAAGCGGCTATACAATCCGGTTATCGTACTACCATATTAAAAACACCTGAACCTTTATGGGCCAGTCGTCCAACTGACCTATGAAGGTCATTTCACAACTGGTTTTGGTTGATTACGTTTTTTGTTAACGATATTGTCTACTAATTAAATAAGTACATGTATCACGGGACTAACTACTAGTATCATGTCACTCAAGAGCGATGACACCAAGCACGACGACCAATCCGGTTTATCAAATTAAAGTAAATGACCGATTAATCAACAAGGACTACGTGACTGATTTAGCGGGGGAAAAACGTCAAAATAAACTAGAATCAAACAAATCGGCAAGGTGAACAGATGAGACCATGTATTGTGACCGGTTTCTTTGATTTTTGCCCTAAACTGTGCCTGATATCGTTTATCATTTACCCATTGTGAGACATTAATGAGTGGAAAGTTTTCTTTTTCTTAAATGTATCCATTTCAAGAGAAGAACAAGTGTAAGACCTCCCTGCGTTGTATGAATTGGCATGAATTAGCTGGTAATTGATCCATGCTGCGTGCGGCTGCGACGCGGCTTTGGATAACGACACCTTGACCGCGTAGCGACCGCACGCATCCGAAGCCAGGTAAAAAGGAGTGTATCATTTGTAAAACTGGAAACAAAAAGGAAATAAGCAACTTGGAAATTCACATGTTACAAAGATGGTAGTGATCCGACGAAGTGTCGATGGTTTCTGACTTCGACTTCTCATTGAGAATTCATGAGAAGAGCACACTTCGACAGAGCAATACTATCTGTGTATTTAAAAAGTTCCTCCATTGTTCTGTATGCTTGGAGGGAGTGAAACAGAACTTGCTGGTCAAGGTATTGTATGGTACTACACCAATATTGTTGCCGGCTCTCCTTTCGATCTTCAGTTTCCAGCTTTGACAGCTGTGAAGAAAATGCAGAGATCTCAGGCTAGGAACATCGTTTCATGTTCATTTGCCATTAATTTGATTTACTGCCTTGTGAGACGCTCAGAAGTTGCTCTCTGGACTCCTCCTGTAAGGCAGGACTGTAATACAAGTCTAGCAAGAAAAATGGTCCTAGACTGACAAAGGCTCAAGTGGGCCCTGGGAAAAATTGGATCATATGGACACGTTTCTACCCTTTGCCTTTTTACATCACTGTGTTCTCTATACAAGTGCTATTATCCTACTGGTTTTCCTTTTCCACAGCTCGAGTAGTCAAGGAGGAACCGGAAAAGGAGCAGTAAGAACCGTGCTTCAGAGTGCGGTGCGGTCCAAAGATCGCCATTCAGGCAGGCATTCTATTTCTCTAGGATCTACGGTTAGGCCCAAGTGGAATCTATGAGTACAAAAATGCTCAAAAGTCTTGAACTGTGCATCTACTGGCCTGAGGAAAGGCTTCCAATGCTCACTACGACCTTGAGTGAATGTTAAGTGCATGGCTTGTCACGCCGAAGTTCATTTAGGAGACATCTGTAATAGGGAACGCATTTGCTTCTTGGACGGAAAGATTATTCTAAGTGGATTGGTCGGTTCTACTAAGGTTTCGAGCTCTGTCATTTGAATTTGACTTTTTGTTTGTTAATGGACGACCTCGGAAATTCCAAAGAAAAAAAAATTCCGTAAATTTGCGAAGTAGGTTCTTGCTTATCCTCATAAGTAAGTGATTTTTCTCAAAAATTATACTTGGTCATTATTGTTTTGTAAAAACCCATTTCTACCGTACCCCCTGCTTGCATAACGCTGATATGTCACCTATACTACCCTATGATATGCCTTCCGATGTCCATCGCTTCTTTTCATAGGCGATCATTAGTTCCACTGGAAATTGTTGATTCACTTACGAAAAAAAAGGCCGCCCACCTTTGCGAACCGGAAATGACGTTGTTCCAAGCACTTCCTTCTACGGACGATCTATGCACCTTCCATACTTCCGCCCGTGCGGTAACGAACCGTAACGAAACACCCAAAGGTGCATTGTATCAACAACAAACAATAAAGAATCATCTAGTATTTTTTCACGTGTTCGTTCTCTTCGGTCTGCTTCGGTTCGGCTCCGCCCAGTGGTGGTGCGAATTTTCCGGCTCCGCCTCCCTTACCGGATCGTCACCCTGTTGTACACCACGCGTGCAGTAGCCCTGTACTAGTAGGACAACGCGTCTGACCACGCCCACACTCAACCAGCCTGCCGGATTTCTGCAAACTATATAAGGTTGTGAGCCGCATTCAATGACAATAGTGAAGACAATGCTCTTTCAATTTTTAACTACCTTTCTCCTACTTGTGCCCTGCTTGTATGCTCAGCTATCGTATAATCCCAATCGGTATGTTCGATACTTTCCTTTCTTTTTTTCGAGAGTATTGAAGTTTTTACAAATGTGATTGTGCCCATGTGGGAACATTTTTACACATCACTTCATCATGATTCCCTTTTAGATGTTGGAGTAGCGGAAATGGTCAACCAGCGCGTTGGTGGAATGAAGGGGAGACGCTTACTCGAGGTGAGACCTTCTCTTATCCCTTAAAAGCCAGTTATTTTTATTTAATTTGTTGGCGGTGTTTTGGAAGTTTCTCAAAATCGAAAGGAGTTGTTCAGGAAAATACTGGTACGTTTGCCAAAGTGGACGTCTCGAACCAAAAGGTTGTATTGCGGACTCGAATCGAAAGCTAAATATCGGCAGTACAATTGAAACCGGTGGATATGTAGCCGTTTGCGAGTTGGGTGAGTGGTTGGAAAATAGACATTCTCATTGTAGGAATAGATTTGGAAAATGTTTTCTGTTGATTTGTTCAACTGCAAAGGATTTCTGTACTGTTGTCTCCCCAATTTTTTAAGAATTTCTCCAAAAGAACCGAAGAAATCGCCGGTTGGGCGATTCAGGTTTTGGCCCAAAATCAGAATGTTTCGATTCAATGGCCCCCCTTTTGCTTGGGTTTGATTCATGCTTGCCCACGATTGGACCCCTTTGGGTATGGTCCGAGACGACTATCCGCTTAAGGGGCGCAGGTATTGCTCCATAAACGGCTGGTCAACGTCGGATTATGTTCACTAGCGACTGGCAATATCCGGTGTGAACCTGCCGTCATTTTACAAAACCTTTTCCGTACAAATCTGCCCATTACCTAGCAGCTGCCTAACCAGTACGTAAAGTCCAAGGTGCTTTCTCAATCACGCAGTATGTCAAGTGTCCTTTGATTTTTTGAGTAGTCTACTCATTATGACTAGCAAGCAGAGCCTTCCTCCAACAGTTCCTGTGCCACCCGTCCCAGTTGAGTGCACGAAAAACTTACTAACCTAGGTTACAGTTAGTAGGGTTGTGTGCTGTCATTAGCTTAGTCGGACCAGCTAGAAAGAAAACGAACTGGAACCACCTTTTTCACAAAAACACAGTCGGTCTTCCTTTGTAGGTGAAACGTGAAAATCCAAAAACTATTATTTGGTCAACCATTCCGTACATTCTCAACCTCTCCTGATCATCTCATTTTCGCTTTCTCAGTCACTCTTTTTGGTGTAGTTCTTCGAGGAGATACTTAGGAAACGAGTAAGACCCCATAGCGATTGTCTAGACTTTTCTTTTCCGAAGGACATCGCATTCCGAAAGAGTTGAGTACGGTTTCTATGAGTTGGGGTCTCTGTAGATTGGAGGTGGGGGCAGTTTCGTTCCTTTCATCAACAGATGTTCTGTTGGGTATTTCTGTTAACTGTAAAACTGGGAAATAGAAACGGTGGGATGATTTAAGTTCAATGTGGCGCAATTGTCATGTTTTTTTACTTGGAGTGAAAAAAAAACCTGTCGATTTTTCTTCACCACAAAAATGACCTTCAGGATCTGCCTTTAAGAAAAACCATATAGGATTTTTCAAGGACCCCATGAAAAACGATTGTTCCGATGTTATCTGACGGCCGCCTGCCTTTATTCATTAAGGAAGTTTTACAGCGAACACCTGCAACTGCAGAAACCTTAATTTCATTGATCTTTTCAGTAGATAAGAAGACGGTGGTTTAATGTAATGGGACCAAAGATTTTCTTTGTCTGACAGATCAAACTTCCCGAGAGGTTCGATAGTTCGATAAAACATCAAGGAAACTCACAATACAAAAGAAAAATCGATTCACACTAATGGGCATTAGCCGTTCCCGGCACCACTTATGAGGTAAATCGCTTTCGTGGTGCCGGCTATAACTTAGAAGCATGGCGCATCCACAATCTCATCACTCTCGAGCATTTCCGCCTTGATTTCCTGTCGGTACCAAAAGATTCTCCTGATTACTACGCTATAAATCGAGACTTTGTTACTTCATAAGTTCACCCCATTGCTCAAACCGGTTTACTTTGTACTTTTGGACTCTTTGTAACTGTTCGAATGCGATGGAGTAACGAGTAGACTTAGAAAAGGGGAAGGTTTTTTTTTGAACTTCTCGAAATTGTGATTGTTTTCCGAATGTTATCAATATTACGTGGTCACAGTTAGTTACAAGAGTACCATAAGTTCATCTACAAAAAGATGGCTGTAATCAAAGAACTCACTTTAGGACCGGATGGTTACCTTCAGTTCCGTTTCATCGCCTGCATCGGAGAGGGAAATCGTCACTACAAAGTTGGGGAGACATGGGTCGACGATCAGGTAAGGCAGTAAAAATATTTATTTACGTCTAATTATGATTAAATTCGTGAAAATATGGCGTATGATCGAACATTTATAGCAGTCATTGTTGGTTTGGAATTGTGCCAAAGGGCGTGCTACCAATCGAACGGTCAGGGGATCAGTTCCCAAGTCGGTCCTTCTATGTCAATCAAACCTACCTCTTTCTGCGACCCGCTAACTGTTACCAGATTCGTTTGGGAAGATAAGTGCTCGAAATATTTACATCGGTCGACCACCGCTGTCGTTATATGATTCCCATATGCACTCAAGTACCACTGCAGATTTTAATGGGAGCGGATGCGTAGGCGCATTTCTGGATGCGATTAACCAAAGTTACTTTGCACTTTTCAGTTAGACAGTTCCTAAGAACAGTCTTCGAATGTCCGCGCGGTCATGGAACAGAGCGGAAGCAATTGGCCAATATTATCGCTCATCGTCGCGCGTTTCTTTCTCACTCTATCCCCTTTCTTCTTCAAGTAGAAGACGATTGCAACCGCGTGTGTGAGACTTATGAAACAGAAACAACTCCCGTTATCCCTTTTTGAATCAGTGATTCACTTTGGAGAAAAATACACCTTACTAGCAACAGGGAGTGTGGGTAAAATGTTTTGTTCGGCGATAATCAGTCCCTTTTTCAGGGGGCGCCTCTACCTCGACACCCATTCAGACTCGTAGTGTCGTTTCGAATGCGTTTGTAGCCATTGCTGTAGCTAGCCTATGCATAGAAGAGTGTTTGTCCCTTCAGACCGGTCTGGTACGATCAATGACCTCGGATGATCGGAAAGCTCGGAGGCTCGAAAGAGTATCGAGCCGGGGTTCGAACCATGCATAAGTTACAGTGTGCCACTTCCTATTTCAGCACCTCGCCCCGAGGCTTATCTATGGGAATATATTTGCTTGTTGCTTCGGGGTTCATTTTCGGCTTTTCGGGCTGCGGTCTACAATAATGGGACCCTTTTGACGGTGCAGCAGGTTTTTTGAACCCTTAAAAGCCTAAAATGTCCTATCAACGGAACGCAAAAATTGCGGTCCGCCTCCGTAGTCCAATGAAACCTTGATGCTATTCACAAAGTACACTTAAAGTTGACTGTACACATCAGTCCGTTTGCACTCTGCAACGAACAGCAATACTTGTCTAGTACACTTAACGAAGTGTCGACTAAGAAAAAAACGAATGTGCAGATTGAGTAGGTGGAACAAAAATCATTCGTACTTTCTTTTGGTGAATTCTGGCTCCTTCAAAGGTCAGCGCTTAGAAGTTGACCTGATAGCGTTCTATTCCTTCTAAGGGCTTCGAGATAGATATATTGATCGTATCGTGGTTGAAACATGGGGCAGGAAACGTTTATCTCGAGCTTTAAACTAACGATTCAACTCTAGCACCTTCGAAAACTCGAGAAGCGGGAGTATGTAGTAGCTCCACACCCTCTCTGTCACCTATTCTTTCGGTACGCCGTATGTAGGCGAGTTATTTTTGGTCCTATTACTCGGCTTTTTCACTGATTGCCATTGAAATTTTCGAACTTCGGGGAAGAGGCGTAGCAAGACGACTAGCTAGGAGTCGCTGCTCATCGTGAACGGATCGTATACCCAGAGTTCGACGGATGATGCATCTGTCTGGTCAAATCAACATGATGCCCTCAATATCGTGTAGATGTACCCTCTTGATTACTCAAGACGTTATTCCGGCTTCAGCTTAGACGACCTGCACGCTAAGCGATAAATTAGGATTTAGGCAGGTTTATACTGCAAGTATGGCCACGCGATATTGTGCGATTTCTGCCGTAGACGTGACCATACTTGCTGACGCTCGATCATTCACGTGCCGGGCCCGAACCGCAACAGGACACATTGCCAGAATGCACTCATGAGTCAACTAACAAACATTTCTGGCAAGATTCCCAAGCAGCCCTATAGTTGACGCCTTCTGCCCCATATCCGCTGAAATGTAACTTTCGTTGCTACTTTGCTGGTCAAAAACTAGGCAGTCTAATTGTTTATTAATTTATTTATTTACATATTTAGTTATTTCCTTATATATACGCCAAAAATGCATGCCCACCCCTAAGAGAGATGAAGAGAATAAGTATAATTGTTTTCAGAATATGTACTACTATGAATGCGAGAAGGATGGTCCGTATTTGAAAAGCCGTGCCAAGGGTTGTATAAGTCATGACAAGCAAAGAAGAGTCCCCATTGGACAACGGGATGACTTTGGAGATTACATGTGAGTCAATTCATTAACTACTTACGACTTTTTCTAGCTAGTCGAGGTCCAAGGTTCACTTACGACGTTGGCGAGTTATGAATAAAACTTCGGCCTCCGAAGGGGTTCGAACCCGTCTTGTGCTATTCGTCTACCGTGCTCTCTATCCCTTACACCACCGAGA